AGTTCATTCAAAACCCATAATTGTTTCTCACTAGTCTCTGGGTCAGCGTTTAGTTATTTCATAATCCTTCCTACCTCTGATCAAATTGCAGAAATTATTTCATATTGAGTAAATACTACAACTCCATTTATGGTTAAACAATATAGAGCAGTCTTGCATGTCATTTTTTTCTGGGCTGCATTTAAAAAAAGAGGGCGATTATACCCACGTCTCCAGGGACCACTATACTACTGGATAATATGACATACTCCCTAAAAATAGTGTACTTTTCATCTCTACAATCTGAGAAATATTTTCTCCAAATATTTAGAATAATCAAGTTTTTGTTGAGAGCTGTGAGATGGGCCTTTGTATTCTTTAGTTCAGCAGTGTTTCAACCTCAGAGCTCCATCATTCTTTTGCCTGTGCTCTTTCACATTTATATTTGTGAATCATGAACACTGACCTTAAATGAGGCATGTGAAGCCTGCAGTACTTTAGATGCTGTTCTTTGTTCATTTGTGACATTCGGAATAAGTCAATGATACATTCTTGGAATAGTTTTGGTGGGCTGGCTGCTCCTTTGAAGGTTCGCCGCTGTTCAATATTTTCTCCACTTCCAAATAGTGCCTCTCACTGTTGTTCACTGGAGTCTATTGCCCGTGGTCATTGGGTGGAAGGGAGGGATACCCTGAAAAGGTTTGTTATTCTATCACAAGGCTACACAGAGACACAAAGCACAAAGAACCATGCACACACACTCAATTTGTTAACCATTGAAATAGGGTTGCAAAGTTTAGTAAAGAGAAAAGCTAAAGGCAATAACAGGAGTATTGATCTCCCTATTTCTGAGGGGGAATAAAACCTTAGAATGTCTTAAGTTTGAAGAGAGCCTCCACAGTTCCTCCCGTCTTGCTTCGCTCCGACTTCCTTGGAGCTCAAGGAGAGCATGCGCTATATTATTATTATTAAATTCACAGGAGCAAAACATGAGGAAATGAACCCTTAATTTAATATGACACATTAAAAAAATCCACATCAGCATTCAGCATATGTGCAGTTTCTGCTCAAATATATACATTTCTTTGTCGTGGATTTTTAAAATTTGTTTGTATGAACTACGTTTGTTCTCTACATCCAAACTCAGAATTTCTTCATCCATACCTGCGATAAGAAGTTTCGAGTTGTGAGATGCGCTCTTGAAAGTTGTTGTGACTGGATTTGTTTTAACTTTTAAGCCTCTCAGTATAAAATAAATATTTTGATGGGAAGTTCGTTGGAATATTACTGAATACTAGGGAGGTTAAGCATCCCCTGTAAATTTCATAAATAATTGGTCGAATACACCATTTTAAATCTCACAAATGCAGTGATTTAACTACAATAAATATGTGCTAAAAGGTGCCTGACTTTATGAGTATTTTGCACATTAATCAGCTGTTGAGTCCCGCTTTTGGAGGCGATCTCCCTTTTGCCCTGCAGCAGCAGGACGCTTCGTCTCAGCCTCTAAAAGATATTCCTATTGAGGCCAGGTCTCTGTATTTTGAGGCAAGCAACAAGAAAGAAGGCCATGGTTGGATAACACTTAAAAATACCTCACTTCCTGTGAGGCTAAACCTCTTAGGGGGTCTATGGAGCAGGGTGAGGTCATGAAGCTGGCTGCTCGATGCTGATGGGCAGAATGCTGCTTTAGAATTTTTGACTAATAGTGACCAAGAGACTCAGACGAGAGAGAGGGAAAAGTGATATATTTGTAAAAACAGTCGTCTTGTGCTAAAACTCTTGCCGTGGTTTCGGGAGTGTATTATTTCAGAGCATTTACACAACAGCTATTGATGGGTTTTGGATTTCATTAACACAATTTAGCCTCCCCTGTTCTAGAGAGTAGGAGCCTGTTATATATATATATATTTTTTCACAATCTAATTTAGCCTTCTGTAAAGTAACTTGTTATTTTACTTAAAAAGTTTACTTTATTCTTGTTATTCTTTCATAAAAGCCAGATTTGTGGAATACTCGTATCACATCGTCGTGTTCACAGTTTTTCCTTCTTAGTCTTTGAATTTCTGCCACTCCTCCAGAGTATCTTTTGGTTGCTCCTCTAGTTCATGCTTTCCTTGTAGAATTTTTGAGCTTCCCTGCATGATCAGGGTTTGGTAGATGCAGTTGTTTTATGATCTTTCTTTTTTTTGGTGATGGATTTAATGGGGCTCTGTTATATCAGCCAAGAAGTGCACAGGAGCTACAAATACAGACGCTTAAATGCACTGCAGACACATAAATGATGCTAACACACAAAACTAGAGCAAAGGAAAATTTTGCTTGTAGAAAAAAATATATATAATATATTTATATATTCTTTAAAAATCAGACAATGTGATTTTCTGGATTTTTTTTTCTCATTTTGTCTCTCATAGTTGAGGTTCCGTATATCTATGATGAAAATTACCGGCCTCTCTCATCTTTTTAAGTGGGAGAACTTGCACTATTGGTGGCTGACTAAATACTTTTTTGCCCCACTGTAAATTAAAAAAAAATTTTTTCTCCTGTCAATATGCTCTATCCAGAACTCCACAAGTCGAAACTTTTTAGGTTCACCTGGTTTAATTCTATATAAAATCTTCTTTAAGGAACCTTTGGCTATCCGATTATTAATTGATTACTAAAAAAATGATCGAGAGATTAATCGATTTGCAAAATAATTGTTAGTTGCAGCCATTATACAAACACATTCTACATTCCTCAGGTTTTTATATATAAACCTCTTATATGTTTCGTTCTACTCACTAGTTACAGTATGCATTTCGTAGAGGAATAGAATACGGTGGCATTTTATCATGGCTGACTGTGACTGTTGATTTTCAATACATGAAACTTATCAAATAAAAGAGATAAACTCTAATTAAAACAATACGCAATATGTTCACAGTTTGACTATATACCATAGTTATTAGGTGTTTTTATCAGTTCATTCAGTGCTTGAGTACCAAAGGAATCTTTTCAACGGCCTCGGAAATATCTGACATTATCCAACCATTATTCTGTAACCTGTGATTTTTTTTGTGTGTTTAAACTCCCTGCAAAGAAATCTGTCAAGGGAAGAGTAATTAAATTTGCTTTTTTTTCAATCTGGAGATTGGTTGTATCAAGCTTGAATAAAATCATCTATTGAAGCAAACTTCAGACTAAGCATGGGGAAGCAGTGTTTTTTTGTGCAGTGCTGAACTGGGAACACAAGCAAAGTATCTATATAGGTTAAAAAGTGGAGGGGGCAAAAAAACTGCCCCAGGCAAGTTTCAGCTAAAGAAGTGGCCTCACAAGACAAAGGCTTTAACTGTAGGCAGCATGTCCTAACATCAAGTGACATGCCATAAAAGGAATAAATACAGTTTTTACATAAAACAACACAAGTTTGAATAGGATCATTGTGTTCACTGAGATTCTCAGACATGCATAGCTAATTACTTTTCTTGCCTTTGAAAGGATGAGCTGGATGTGTGTCTTCTCACTCCAGCAGGCGCAGCAGAGGAGGAAGCTGCAGCAGCATATCTTAGCTGAAAATCACACTTGCATTTTTATTTATTTATTTATTTATTTATTTAATTTTGTAAACCATCCAAAGAAGGAAATATGCTAGAGATGCTTGGATACCAACCTTATGAGGTAGGTCTGAAATCCTGATATATCAAGAAATGAATGAAAACATTTAGTTGATCAGAATATGTTTCAGTTCAACATCTAAACTCTTGTTAAGGTGTCTCCATGAGTGCCTTTATAATGTCCTCAAAGTTAGAGTAAAAGGGAGTGAGGTTTACATGTGAGATGGATGTGGAGCTCCACTCCATTTAAAATGGGTTACATTCTGACAAACGCCATCTCTGAAGTTGTTGTTTTTTTCTTTATCTGTCTGTGTGTGTGGTTCTGCCTGCAGACATATTTCTGGATCATTAATGCTGGAGAATTAATGAGCCTCAGATAACAAACGCTTAATTTGTATGCAGAGGTTGATAACTATTTTTGGCACTTAGTCTTACATTATTTAAAAAATATATTGAAATATTTCTTGATTATATTCATGTCTTTAGATAACAAGATTCACAAATCTTTGATCTATAATGGAAATTTCCTTAATCTGACAACATAAAAGTTTGTAGAAAATCGGGGTTCAAAGGTGTATATTTTAGCAATAATGTCTGGAAAGTAAAAAAAAACGAAACAACTATGTTGCTGCTCTCGCTATAAGAGTTATCATATTTGTATTGCATCCTAAGGCAAAAATTAATCTTTTCAAATACTAATTTTGTTTTTTGACAAATGAAATAAAGTCCAGAAAAACCTCAAAGTTTTACAGATTTGTTTTTAATTTGGAAAATGGGTGTAACCAGTCATCCATTTTACAGGATAATATGACATACTGCTGGGTTTATGGTAATGAGATCAGATGAGTTTAAAATTTTTTGAAAATGTCCTGGACTTCTGGGGCGCTTCTTTGTTTTTTGCCTTATATATATGTTTGTCACCTTTACATGTGTGTTACTTCTAGCACAAACTAGATGCATCATGCTACTTTAGCCATGTAGTTTTATCTGAAACCACCAACTGGATCATGCAGTGTACAAGGCTTAATCCTAGTCTGACTTGTTATCAGTTCTACAGTAATACTAGTCTTGAGAACATAACGTTTTCGCTTTGGTTTTTTTCACAAATGAAATCTTTTTTCTATTTGAGTTAGACTGTTTTTTTTTTTCATAATCACGTTTTGTCCCCTGGCTTAAAAGATAATTTAGTTAGGTCACTTAAAAAACACTCAATTCAACAATTTATTCCTTTTGTATTTCAAAATAAGAGCACAAACATGCTTACACACTCATTTTTTTAAATCTTTTAACACTCTTCTTGGCATCTAAAGCTCACAACGAAACCTTAAACTTCGTATTGTCAAAGTTTCAGGCTGGCAGCAATGGGTGTTTCATGAGACTTTGACAAGAAATAATTTGCTGCTTTTGTTGCTCAACCAACAGGTCCAGACTCATTTGGAAAACCCTACCAAGTACCACATCCAGCGTTCCCAGCAGCAGCAGGTTAAGCGGTACCTGGGAAAGCTTGGTTCCCAGGCATTGAGCTTGCCCTGCCCCAACCAGTCCTCTGACCACGGGGGCATGCCGCCAGGGCCGGGCAACAGCGCCCCCAACAGCCCTATGGCCTTACTGACCCTCAACTCAAACTGCGAGAAAGAGGTGCGCCGTGTCCCCTTAAAGTATGCTTGTGCGTTTTGTGTTGGTGGAGTTAATTACACATGTGTCCTTTTGTGGGATTGCAGATGGATGATGTCATTGATGACATTATTAGCCTGGAGTCAAGTTACAGTGATGACATCCTCGGTTTGATGGATCCTGGACTTCAGATGGCAAACACGGTATGTATGTGCCCTTTTTTATAATGCTTTACTACCACACAGAATGGATTTTATTCTGATGAAAGATCACAGCATGAGATATGCCTGTGATAGATTAAGAATTGATATTTAAAAAGCTTACATCCCAAAGGAATATTCTTGAAGACGAAAGAAGTTCTTAACATGTACTTACATTTCTCTCTAAAAACACCAGAAAAGTCTCTGGTTATTTTGGAGCTCAGAGCTTCTGACAGATTCAGACTTTAGAAAAATAAAAACACTATTAGCAATATGTATAACGTCAAATCTCACCTTTTCCCACTGCACAGTCATTCTTACTATTCCCACCTCTAATAATGTATTCTGTTTCCCTTATCCTCCCCAGATTCCTGTATCTGCTAACCTTATGGACATGTACGGTAATCAGGGCATGCCGCAGCAGGGCCTGCCCATCAGTAACTCCTGCCCTGCCAACCTCTCCAACATCAAAAGGGAATACTCAGGTGAGCAGATTTAAGATTCCTCCATAGTATAAATTCTTTAATAATTAACATTATTATTATTATATTATATTTAATTTTCTTAATAGAAAGTATGTTATTTATCACATAGTGTCTCAATCCCCGGCCATCATGCACATGCTGGACAAATCTGGATCCTGTGGAAAATTTGAGACCTATCAAAGGCCTGAGGGGTTCCCTGTGGGTACGTCTCAGTGTTTAGCTTCAACTTATTGAGCACGGGTGCTGGTGGTTTTAGTTTCTTTGGGAATTTTTTTTCCTATTCATTCATACAGCACTTATCACACTCTTTTAATGAAAGTGTTTTTTTGCCAGAAGCTGAGGTAAGAGCCCTCGCAAAGGAAAGGCAGAAGAAAGACAACCATAATCTGAGTGAGTTCCAGCTGATGCATTATATGATATTTGCAAAAAGGGATATATTTTGTCTGGTACAATAAGAAAAAAAACTATCTAAGCTGATCTTAAAATATTTTCCATTTTAAATGTGTTTGTGTCTATATCTTATCTGGAAAAATGTCTATGGATTAAAAGGAAATAAAACAAAGCAAACTTTATGTCAAGAATACAGCCAGAAAAAAATAAACAAATGAAATAACACAGGGTATTTTCCCTTGTAAATATAGGGTCAAAGGAGGGGGACAAAAGTCACACTTTTGGGAATGGAAAAACCCTTGATGGCTGTGTCAACAATAAATAACTGTATTTGGGGAACCTCCACCAACCTTTACATGCTAGTCTCCTTCAAACATAATTTAGTTAAGATTTTCAGAAAAGAAGTTTATAAAACTGCAACTAATTATAATACACAGATAGACTCTTTAGTCTCCATTCCCACTGCATCCTTTACTGAGTCTATCAATACATTTCTCCACATCTGTTAATAATAGTAGTTTGCTAGCTTTAAGTATTTTGATAAAAAAGATACATATATTTTCTGTAAACGGTATCAGGGCTCTGATTAAATACTTATTAATCATGCATTTAGTGCATAAAAAATGACCTATTTTAAAATAATGGAGAGCCAATTGTGATTTTTTATTTCAAGATTTGTATGTTTTCTGGCTCTAAAATTTGCTATTAATTTAAATGTCTCCGCTGTTTTTCTTCCATGTTTTTCCTTGCTTGTTGTGCAGTTGAGAGAAGAAGACGGTTTAATATCAACGATCGCATCAAGGAGTTGGGAACTTTGATTCCAAAATCCAATGACCCGTAAGTTTCCTATTGCTTCCATACTTCTGCTTCAGAAGCTAAACAAATAAAAATAAACTAGGATTAATACATTTATTAGGTTTTCTCATAATCTCAGACAGTTTTGAATATTGTGAGAGTTTTGGTTGCTTTGATTGGTTCTGAAAGTATTTCTTTCTCACACTGCAAACATAAAATAAATAGAAAATGAATTTTGCTAGTTGTCAATTTTGCTTCCTTTCGATAACAAAGTCCCCTCTTAGTGTTACTGCCTCTGCAGCTAAAAATCAAGTTAACATTTTCAAAGGAAATTCAGGGGAATTTTGTGCCAAAGACACTAAACCATCTGAGGCAATGCACTTTATTTGTGTAACTGATGAATTTTTGTATTTGCTCTGGTTGAACTTTTAAACTACATACTGGTGCTTTGATAACCCATGAGCTGCTAGTCATTAATTATAGCTGCACAGTTCGCTTTGGTTTACTTTGGCTATGAAAACAGTTGCTAGTTGTATGAAACACATACTTTGATGAAGGCATTTTGGTGTAAATGTTCATATCTGGAGTAAAGGATTATTAAGGTATTTTTGTTATATCTTTCTGTGATTTCTTGTGTGTTTTCTAGGTGATCCCAGCACAATTTTTGACTCTTCAGATATCTGTATTCAAATAAACCCACCCTCATTGGAAGTTGCCACTCACAAATTGAATTGATCTGATTTTAATCAATTTCTAAATAATGAAGATGCAACAACTATTAAGCTATGTGCCATCGGTTCAGTTTGCCCTCTGTTAAAATGTTTTTGTGAGAGAAGATGAAACTATAACTATGATCCTCTCTAATGTTTGATGTTAGAAACTAAAGTGCTGCTTTTTATTTAAGTGTAAATAGAGAATGTTGATTTTTGTTTTCTTCTTTTGTGATATTTTAGAGACATGCGCTGGAACAAAGGCACCATCCTGAAGGCATCGGTGGACTACATCCGAAAGTTGCAGCGCGAGCAGCTGAGGGCCAAGGAGCTAGAAAACCGCCAGAAAAAGCTTGAGCACGCCAACCGCCATTTGATGCTTAGAATACAGGTATAAACATTCATTGATAGAATTAATTAGTTGTATTTGGGTTAAATATATATACATTAACTTGTACTGTTCAAAAGTATTTCAATTTATTATGACAGACCAACAGGATGCATCATTTCTATCTTTATTTGGAAATGGAAAATCCAAAAGTCAGCCTTTATTCTCATTCACATAATGAAAAAGCACAGTGGTGTCCCCAACATCCCTGGAAGAAAATTGGTTAGAAGCTGCAAAATACTTAAGACTGGTGTGAAGGTTCACTTTCCTGCAGGGAAAAGATCTGAGTTTGTGGCAAGACTTAGAAAGCAAGGCTCGCAGATGCTTTACATCTACGCTGACTGAGATTTAGTTATTTTGCAAAGAGAACTTTGCAAAATTACAGCCTTAATGCATGTGAAGGTGATATACCCTGAAAGACTTTCAGCTGTAATTGGATTTAGTTTTGTTTTTGCAAAGTATTTACTTTAGAACAAATGCTTCTCCCATTTCTCAGATATTCATTTGCAAACATGTGGATTAAGGACGTCTCCCTTTCCTTCCACTGTGCACTATGGACTACTTTATCACACAAAACTTATAAGAGAGATTAAAGGTAGTGGTTGTAATGTAACAACTGAAGTTTGAAATTCAAGAGGAAAAATATAGAAGTATCTTTAAGAAGCAGCCCTACTAGTCTGTTTAACAGAAAGATGCGAATAATGCATAAATGCCCTAAACCTTTAGTGACCCTCCTGTTTGTGCAAATGACTGTGACTTGCAGGAGTTGGAGATGCAGGCTCGGGCTCACGGTCTGGCCATCACTTCCTCAGCACTCTGCTCTGCTGAAGTTGGGGTGCGGCCCATTAAGCGGGAGCCTCTTTTGGAGGACTGTCACCAAGACCTCTATAAACTCCATCGCCAACACCATCCCGCCTGCACTCCTGAGCAATCCACCACACTGGAGCTAAAGGAAGGTCCCTCCAACTTTAACGAGGGCCACTACAGCTGTGTTCATGGCGAAGCAGAAACCAAACTCACTGACATCCTCATGGAAGACAACTTATCTCCTGTCAGAGGGGTGGACCCTTTGCTCTCCTCCGTCTCCCCAGACGCTTCAAAGGACAGCAGCCGCAAAAGCAGTGTCAGCATGGATGATAATGAAGAGGGTTGTTAGCGCCCCCAATGGGTAGATGGCTCTCCTGTATCTTTAACCCCTCCATCTTGCCAAAAAAAAAAAAAAACCACAAGAGGATATACAGGTTCAGGTCTAGTTTTTTTTATTTACCTTCTATTTCATTTCTATGTTTACATGTTGAATCTTCATTTTTTTCCTTTTTTTTTCTATTGTTTGTCTTTTCAAGCTTTCAAACTTGATTACAATGACAGATTTAAGAGTATTTTCTTTAATCAATGCTTCAATGACAATAAGTTTCAAAGGTTAGAAGTTTTATATATCAAAACTATACATTTATCTTTTTATAGAGCTTAGCTTGTGTTTTTTTTTGTCAACTCCAAAGAATCTAGGGAAACTGAATTAGTCAGAGGTGTAGATATTTGTGGTGAGGTAAACACTGCTTTGAAAATCAGTAGCAATAATAGAAAGAATGATATTTATTACAATAGTGCTTACACTCCTTGTGTCTTAGATTGAACTTGAATGTGCCAATGCCTTATTAAGAAGTGTGTACATCATTGTATTACAATGCACACATTAGCTCAGATTCCCTGTCAGTCTTCCAGATGAAATTACTTGCCTGATAAACAATCACTTCTAGATTTTTTTAACTATTTATGGTCCTCTATAGACATAATTCTATCTAAACATTCCCCTTAAGTATATATATATATATATATATATATATATATATATATATATATATATATATATATATATATATATATAAATGCCCTATGAAATATTTAAAATTGCACAAATTCAACAATTTAATTTAGTATTATAAGAAATAATCCAACTAGAAAAAAGATTTATGTACCTTTTATCTACTGAATGCTCTTTACAGGTTGTAGTAGATATATTACAAATACATTCCTATTGTCAAGACTACTACCAAAATGTTAAAGTTTCAAAAATGGTCTTGAATTAAACCAATATATTTGAGACTGGGATTATTTTCTAGCAGCATTGATCTGATACACAGATTTCTTAAAGATATCCTAACACAGAGTAAAGAAATACTGCAGAGGAATTGCTTTCTTGCCTCTTCTTTTTTTTTAGACTATTTATATTTATACCACTTTAACATTTCACAATGAGGATGTTCTTTTTTTTAATATGTGAAATTTATAAAGCCAATAAATTGTTGATTTTATATGAAATGTACGGAATCGTCCAAACACTGGATTAACCTCTGTGGACTGAAATGTAGTTTATTAAGCTTTTGTGCCCAAACTTGATATGTTTGACTTGTGACATCCATACGGAGAATAGAGCAACAGAGTTACACTATTGCATGTATATTTCTGCAGTTTGCAAATGTTGTAGCATGTTCATGAATAACCAGGAGCCATTACTGATAACTCGGATACAACAGTCTCTGTTTTGTCAAACTATGCAATGTTTGAAGTTGTGCCTGTGATACATCACGTCTTGAAATTATGTCATTTATGAAATAGCTTTAGACAGTGATACTTTAATTACCATATCATTTAAGTGCCTTCTGTTACATTGGTGATGTGTGAGAATTTATGCAATATTTTTAACTGATTATGCTGGTATTTGGTGCTTTATAGACAAAAAAAAACCTGGTGCGGAAATCCTCTAAAAAAAGACTTTTGGTCAGTGTGAGACAACAGGCTAAGTCATTGATTTGCGATAGCACTTTTATTAATTGAAACATAAAGATCTTAGTAAGTTATTAAGAAAATTTTGACCAAATTAAAGTGTCTTTTGCGAATAGAAATTGAAATGTGCTTCAAAAAGAGTATGACAATTAAAATGTATTGAATTCAAATGGTACCGAAATGAAAAAGTCTTTTAAATAATATTGATTTTTAAAAACAAGGGCAGCATTGATATCAGAAATTAGTATGGTATCTTATGGACACAAATCTCAAGCTTTGACTTTAGCTATAAAACATATCATTTAGCGAGACAAAGAGTGCCAAAGGAAGAATGACTCAGACAAGTTAGTCTTTATGATAACTAACCAAGCAAACTTTGGTTGACAAGACATCACTTCCTCCATCTAAAAATGTTGAATTGGATGTTGAATTTTGGAGAAGATGGTTTCAAGCCTAAACCTTGAAACCATCAAGCCTAAGACCAATGAAACGCTAAAATCTAGTCCAAACAAGGCCAAAACAAGTTAATATTTGCATCCACTTGTGTAAAAGGCAATACAGGTTGCCATATATATATATATATATATGTATGTATGTATGTATGTATGTATATGTATATATATATATATATATGCCAGCCTGTATTTCCTTTTATTCAACATATTTCAATATGTAAAATTACTTGAATTAAAGTGGCTAAAAGGTTAGCATTAAGCTGTAGATGTAGGCGTTAAATATTCTACATTTAATCACTGGCTTACATAAAATGGCCCTAAAAATATGGCCGTGGCTGAAAGTAAACAGTACATGAAGGATTAAAAAAAAAAAGTAAATAAGTAATTATGTAAATGTTTTGGGATACATTCATGGCCACTGGGTCTGTAAAGTTTCTGAAAACTGTTTGGTTTTATAGACGGAAACTAACCTAGCTTTATTAGTTTTTCCTAATTTGAATTATGGACAAATAAATAAAATAAATAAATCAGCTACCCTGGAGGAGAGCATACCGTCCTTTTTTTACCCCCAGTTAGCAACTGTTAGCATCGACTGCTACATTATCTTAGTTAAGGAGTGTGCAGGCTGGTTGTAGCATTTAGCTTTAAATACATTAGACATATTTATTTATTACTGAACATTTTTAAACTTAATATATTGCTGTTGTGTATTTGTTTTCCTGCAGTTACACTGGACATAAAGACATTTTTCTAAATGTGGTATAAATGTAGTGCACAATTGTGTGCCTACAATGAAAGATGCAGTGTATTTATACAAAATATAAGTTACAAGTTTAGGCTACTGATGGTCACTTTCAAAACATCTTACCAGAAACAGGAGACATGAAGCTAATTTATTGTAATATACAGTTTATGCAAAATAAAATTATTAAAGTGCGAAGAACACAACTCCAAGAATAACAGATTGTTTGGATATAGTTACATTTTTTCGTGTCTCTCACAGTGTTTTGTAATCTACTGAGTACCAACTCATTAACAGCCAGTAAAAAAGCTTGTAAGTGAACATTGGATCACTGCAGATGGACCTTTATGATTGTAAGACTTGTGATAAGATTAGTACACAACCTTTTGACCGTGAGCTGGTAGCTTGTGGTTTAAACATGCGTATTGCACTTAGATTGTGGTGTATTTCAAATCCACTAAAGAAGAACCTTTTCTGTTGCTATTTAAGTGTCTGCTCAAGTTTATTCCGTGGTTCATGAAGTGTACTACAACTGTTTTCATTGTCAAAGTTTTATAAGGTAAATGTTGCAATACTTACTGTGCCCACTGTTCTCAGATTACTTAACTCACTTTCATTGGTACTCAATGGTAAACTACTGTTTTAGAGATATTAAAAGATTTTTTTTTTTAGCTTAATGGCTCTGTGTGTTTTTCCTGCAAGTTTGAACACATCCAATGATTAAGACAACAAAAATTATTCATTGAAATTTACAGACTTAAAAAATACATTTCTCTAAAGATCCTGCTATTCCTAAACCACTATACTTTTAGGCCATTTAGATTGATATGGTGCATCCGTTCAACATAAGGATACTTGGGGCATTTTTTCTTTTCTTTCTTTTATTTTATTATAACACTACAAAAGTCTTTCTGTAGTGAATTGCAAATTGATTATTTTATTATAATTTTTTTGCTTAATCGATAAATAATTAGATAGCAAAAGCTTCCTAAAAGATTTTTTACGGAAGTAAACCAGTTAAAACTAAACCTTTTCCACCTAAAGAGTGCTGGATAGAGCATGTTGATAGATGAAACCAATTTTTTATCTTTAAACAGTAGTTTTTTTTACAATTTGATATAAGTACTAGTCCAAATGGGTCGAATCTGTCAGCTAAAAGCATATTTTAAAGTCTCTGTACTCCAGTTAACTAATAATTGATTACTAAATAAGTTGACAATTATTTCAGTAATCAATTAATCACAATTACCTATTTCCGCCCTAATAATGTAAAGACCGATTAGAGTGCCATTCTTTTGCAAATATTTTATTCACTTATTACCAAAGCCAGAAAGTTCTTCAGTCCAGTTGTGGAATGCTTGGCAAATGATGTCATCTTCTATCATATCATGGAAGATTTCTAAAAAAAACAAACAATTTACATGCAATAAAAAAATTAAGTAAATACAATTGACTGATAGTGTGAAATCAATAATAGGGACAGCATTTTTTTATTTACCAGCTCTTCCCAGTCCTGTTGGTAGAGGCATCCTCAGGGAGCCTGCTGAGTGCTTCAGACGCTCTTCAAGAGATTTTTGCACCAAGGCCAGGGAGCAGTCTTGGTGCCACACAGGTAGCTCCAGACCCAGCATACACTGGATAATACGATCCTTCTCTTTTTTTGTTAGAAGCCCCTTTTGGTGGGCCACATAGACCATGAGGGACATATCGATGTTTACAGCCTCCCCATGAAGCAGAGCAGGCAAAACTCTCTGTGAGGTCAGAACAGACGGAAACTCTTTAGTTTCATTTGTTCATGCAAGATGCACAGCTTTGCAAACACACAACTAGATATTTATACACAGCAGAGATGAATTTGACACATTTAATGTTTTATTTGACTTAAGCTCTTCTTTATTCTGTTTTAAAATTGCATCTTGTATATAGTAATGCTTTAAGTTGTGTTACATACATTAAAATAGAGTTAAAACTGTTCCTTTACCATTTCTAGTTCGGGGCTAATAAGATGCCCAAAATCCACCAGCCGATCTAGATCATCCTCCCACAAATTTGGAGCCAGTTCCTCTAGCATTGTTTCTATGGCAATGCGCATGGATGCTGCAGCGCTGTCTTCCTGTTCAGAGTCACTGCAGGTTTCGGATGGCTGCAGCTTGGCATGCAACAGTTTCTTACCGTTCGACTCAAGGAGCTCAAATAGGCTACGGTGCTTCATCAGGGCCATCTGAAATCATGATATCTTTACTGGTACAAACGTAGCTGAATCATTGAACAGCTATAGAAACAAAATGATGATGCTTTAAAACGTTTTTCATTTTGCACTGCATGACATATCTACGGAAGAGGATTAGGGCCAGTGGAAAAATAAAAAGTTAACTGATTTTTAAATTGTATTTCAGTTTAGTATGGGAAAAAAGTCAGAATTCTGACTTTAATCTCAGAGTTCTGACTTTTTTCTCAGAATTCTGACTTTAATCTCAGAATTCTGACTCTTTTTTATTGTCAGAATTCAGTCAGAATTCTGAGATTAAAGTCAGAATTCTGAGATTAAAGTCAGAATTCTGACTTTTTTCCCATGTTAAACAAATAAAATATTAAAAATCAGTTGTTGTTTTTTTTTCAGTGGCCCTAATCCTCTTCCGTACATATCTCTTGAAGGATTATTAAAAAAAAGATAATATCATGCATTTAGTAAATGCAACAAATCACAATAAAACACACCAAAAGTTGCAGAAAATGTGAAAGACATAAAAGTATGAATTTATATATATTTAATCCTCATGGAATGTTTATTTTAGCATATTATCAAGTTAAATATTGAACAAAATCAGTCAAAAAAAATAAATAAATTGAAGTTTATTAAAGTGAAGTTTATTTTTTCTGTTGAAGTCTCCCTGCAGCAATTTATTAATGCATTTTTAAACTAATTTTATAGTGGAATATAACTTTCTTTTAACAGATAAGTTGAATATGTTTACATGTATTCAAATAGGATTCTTTACAACATTAAACCACATCATAAGGAGGAATTAAGATATATGTAACTCATTTTATTCAGTGATTGGAGAATTGAGTTAATGAATTAATGGCCATGCAGAGACAAGCACCTTTAACATCTCTGCAAGTCCGTTAGAGATCTGCCGTAGAGGGAGAGTTTGGAAGAATGAGCTGTCTAAAAATGTTGCCACTGGTGGAACATAACTTCCCAGCTTGTTTTTTCCTCCAGCAAAGTTGACCCCAGTTTTGGCCCCGACACTAGCATCAACATATGACAGCAGAGTGGTTGGCACACGAATGTATGGGGTCCTTCGTCGATAGAGAGATGCTGCCAGACCAACAACATCCAAACAGACTCCACCTCCAAGTGCAATGATAGGCTCAGAACGTCTGTCAATCCCAAACTGGTGAACTTCCTCCAGAATTTTGGTCACTAGCTCCATGTTCTTATTCTCCTCAGTGGTGGGTAGAGGAAGGATCTTGTAAATGACTCCCCTGGCATCAAAGTATTGAGAGACCTTAGAGCCGTACAGCTGGTGTACAGTTTTATCAATAACAATAAAGCGCTTCACAGGTTTTGCTTTTTCGCTGGCTTGAATGTCTTCATCTCCTATGTGGCCCCAGAGCAAAGTGTCATTCATGGGATCTAGCAGGTCTTTACACTGAATAACCCTGTAGGTGAAAATAATGGGGCTCACCACGGTCCAGGAAGCTCCTTGGTCCAATTTCTTCTCATAGCTGAAGATCATTCATAGTAAAGTTAAAAAAGAAAAGGGGATTCAGTTTGGCCACTTTGTTAAACTTTGGCTTTCTGTGTTACACTATAACACTTCGTCTGTTGCAGTTCTTTGTTTAAATATCCTCATCTAAATATAAAATGTATAGTCCTGATTTAGACTGGTGCCCTAAGTGCAAATTGTTATCCTTACTCATTTATGGTTAAATAAGAATCTGGGTTTTGTTGTCTTAATACTTTAATCCTCCATTATATTGAAATGGGGATGAGTTATGTGACATTCAAATAAAAGTAATGCACCAATATCTAGTGCATGTCGAGTCACACATACGATATTCACAAACAAAAAAATGAAGCAAAGTTATATGAGGAAAAAAAAAAACTTCCGCAAAAATATTGTGATATGGTGTTATTACAGTTAATTTCATCTAATTTTAGCTTGTTACTTAGAAGCATAATGATAATGGCCATATTATTGGTTCATATACTTCATTTAAAAGGAATTTAAAAGTAAAACATTCTCTAGGCTAGAAGAACATTAGCCTAGAAAACAGGTTATTATAATTCAGCTTAATTCAGTATTGGGAACTGTGCTTCATAAAGAATAAAAGTGTAATGTAAATAAGGTAAGTATCATGCTAAGAATGGAACGATTAAACTATTATAGATGAAATTTAACTAAGAATTGTGTCTTTAGGTAAAAAGGATCCAGCAGAAGACAGATGCACAATTATCTACAATATACCAATCATTATAATTAAAAATCCTACTTTAAAACAATCATGTACTATTTTCTTTATGTGTTATTGTTGGATTACATTTTCTGATATAACCCCAAAAACAAGAAAAAAAACTTTTTGTGGCAATGTGTTTGTGGATCTAGGTTAAAATTAGTTCTTTACTTAAGTTTTCAGGTTGAGTTGAACTTCCTCAAAAACAGAAAGAAATCTTCCTCAGAAAATTGGCAGCTGCTAACTTCCAAAGAAAAACCTAGAATGATCTGCAGTAAGTTTAAAGAAGCACTTCCTGGCACTTAAAAAACAGAATATGAACCACTAGGGACAAAAACATGTATCATTTTTTTAGTAGACCCACTTCAGTTCAGCAATATAACCTATCCACATGTTCAGTAACAGGGAGAACATGTTCTCCTCTGGCATTGCTGTGCATGTTTATCAGGGCCTCAGAGAAGCCTAAAATAGAAAGGTATTTCTGCACACTGTCTATGGAACAGACTAATGTAGATATGTGTGCACTGTCTGTATACAGCAGGACTAGAATGTAAACTAAATGTAAGACAGAGACATATTTTAGGAGGGAAAGATAATCCTGGGCTTTAAGGCATAACATTTTCCTGTTTCAGCGTCATTACAGTGAACCTTTCATAGATTATTTTGGTTTAGACTGAAGATAAATTATTAACACAACTCATTTTCACCTTATACTTACATTTTAGCATCTGAAGATTTCCCATCCTTTTCTTGGCACGGTCCAGCTTGTCGAATCCATGTTCCATTTACCTGAACCAGATTAAACTCTGTTCCATGTGAACTGCTGGTCTTACTTGAAATCATGTTTCTAGAGCTTTGCGTCTCTAACATGTTCATGACAAACTCTGACTTCCTTTATAACATGACACTAAGGACATCAGTGAACATGATCACAGCCAGCCTCCTCCCACCCCCCACACATACACACACATATATGAACCTTCACTTCAGCTATCTGCACAGGCTTGTATTTCCATACTTGTTCTGTACACTCGGGCTTCTATACACCTTATTTCAAGAATAAAGATACCGCATAAAAAAATCAGTTAGTGTTAAATACAAAGCAAGAATAGTGAATCTTCTAAAACAGTTTTCTTTTTATACTTGTAATAATGCAATAAAATTGTACTTTTTCTTTTCATTATACAATGTCTTTATGCCTATACTGTTAATTAATTTTTGTCTGTCCTTTTATCTAGAGCTGAAAGGATTCATCGGATTAACTGTGATTAATTGATTATTAAAATAGGCTTAAAGTAATTTAGTAATTGATTAATCATTAAATGGAGTATAGAGACTCTAAAACATGAGCAGTAACTATACCAAGATTGTTAAAGAAAATAAATAAAAATTCAAGATAAAAACAACATTTTCAACTGTCAATATGGTCTATCCAGAACCCCTCAAGTGGAAATGTTTGTAAAAAGTCTTCTTTAAGGAACCTTTGTCTATCTGATTACTAATCGATTAATTAAAAAATAAATGACATAATAGTTGATTTGCAAAATAATCCTTAGTTGCAGCCCTACTTTTATCCTGAAAGAATTGCTCCAGTATGAAGTTTCCTTGCTATAAAATCAGGAGTGTATTTTTTCAAGTCACATTCCCTGTCTTAACCAATACCTCTATTCTCCTTGTTTTACATTTCCATAACAAGGATTCTAAACCCAGTGCTTCTGTGTTTTTGCCTCTTCTCTGTCCAGAAAACTGCTAATTCAGAACCTGGATCTTGTTGAGGTTAGAGTTTCTTTCTACCATCATTTGCTTGCTTCAGAGAGACTGGTTCAAATTAAATAACTAATACAACTGCCTTTACTTTCTTAGATATTTTTCAATCGGGACAAACTCAGTGGGATTAAATCTTAGTGAAGAAATTGCTTGTATGCAATTTGAGTGTAATCCTACGACATGACTGTGCTCGTTATAAAGAAAAATTTATTGATCTAAACTGTGTTCCATTAAACGGCAGGATTTAATATGTACGGTGGCCGGGAGGTGCAAACCAACATTACAAAATCTAAAAAAACTTTTACAAGTTCCAAAACAAATGATCATTTCAGAAAACAAATTTACGTTTAAAAAAAAAAAACTTTTCCTGAAATGACAATTTGTTTTGGGACTTGTAAAAGTTTTTTTTTTTAATGTAAATTTTAAATATGACTAAGACATGATGAATTTGTTATCCCCTCTGAAAATACATGATCTATTTGTTGCTAACTAAATTACCTAATTAGATTTAATTAACTGCAACATTTCAATAAGTGAATCATAAAATCTAAATCAATGACGCATCATTTCACATAGATCATGATCAATTTAATATACATAGAGATGCATTGGTTAACAATAATGATAAAATCTGTTTTTATTTTGCAATGTTTATGAAAGGGGTGAAATAGAAAGAAGCAGTGTATCCTTTTGATCAGCTGGATTGATTATACCTTCAATACAAATATATCAGATCATGTTGGCAGTGAACATTTTTGGTTTTTTTTATAGCAACATTTTCTTATGTTCTCTACAAATCTTTGTATATATAATGATTACTAAAATAAATTCAGGTAGTGTGGCCCCAGCGCAGCACAAAGCTGCAGTTAAAACAGGGGAACTTTCATTGTGAAGTGCTAACTATCAGTGTTCCCTTTCCTTTGGCTTCTCCGCTCATCATGGTCATTTTGGTGATGAGATAAACTGTAAAATGAGAATAATTACTAACAGTTTTACAAACGTCTTACTGTGTTCTCATCACCTGTACAAAAACAGCCGAGAGCTAGATTACCAAACAAACGAAAACAAATACTCAAAAATATCAAAAGAAAAAAAAAACTCTAAAGTACAGAGTGTTTGGTTACATAGATGAAGCTGTTGCTTTTTGGAATACCAAGTCACATAGGTTCTGAGTGAGTTGGTGCTGCTGTGGACAAGTTGGACCTCATCATCAGAGAGAAGGCACACGATTGAAATGAAGCTCCGATCTCTCTGGGCTGCCGCTGACTTCCCCCTGGAGCAGTTCAGGACTGTGGCCTTGTTCATCGGTGCTCTCTGGAGACTCGTATGGATAATTTTCACTGATCTCCTCATCCTCTTGCTCTTCTTTGATACTAGTGTGGTCACATATTCAATGGAAAGCATGCATTATCAGAACTGACATTTCAAACCAGCTGATACAAATACACAATAAGAGAGTCAAAATGGGAAAACTTACAAAGCCTGAGGAGGGGACTGTGTTGCACTGCTGTCACTTTGGTATCCACATCCGTTAGCCAGGGCGCCATTCATCTGCTCCTGGAGAACATGAGGCAAGGAGTGTAGGGGGATGCTACCTATTGAGGCTGAGTTGTAGAGAGCGTTGTTTCCGTCTAGACCAGCATTCTGAAAAGGGTAAAAGGAATATTCATAGTCTTTATATGTAGATTGTCAAACACTGACAAGTTTTAGCCTAATCTTCAAACAGCATTTCATTAGATTCAGTTCTGAAACTAACATCCATTCATCTTTTGATGAATAGATCTCCAGCTTTCTATAGGTGAGAGGGAGGATGCATTCAAGGACAGGTAAACCTTTCCTCTGCAGGTCAACATGGACATAACAACCACACACACTCACAATTAACCTAACAGTCATGTTTTTGGACTGTAGGAGGGTGACGGAGTACCCAGAGAGGACCCATAAAAGCACAGGGAGAGGATGCAAACCAAATACAGAAATACCCTGGGCATGGAATAGAACCCAGGACCTTCTTGTTGCAATGCAGCAGTGCTGCAAGCTGCACCACCGTGCAAAAACATTAACAAAAAAAGTTTTAAATAATCCTTACCTGAAGAGCAGAGCTGGGTAAAGTCTGGGGATTTTGAGAATTTTTCAGCAGAGATCTATGAGCAGAAATACACAAAAGTAAAATATGCTTTAATTATTTTATCCAAATAGAAAAAAAAGAAATTATCTTTCTCTGTGAGGGGCTGGCAATAAGAAACCATGTCTTTAGTCCAAAGAATGCTGCAGATAAGAACCAGCACCCTGTCACTCCGACAGAGAAGCAGGTATAGAACAATGACAGTAATATGATTATAACACGAAGACTTCACAAAAATGTTACCCTTAATTTGAACGCATTCTTTTAAAGAGGAAGATGCAGCTTAATCTTTTGTTTAGCTTCACTGATTATTTCTTAAAAATCCCATGCTAGGATCTTTCTTTTTTTCCAAACTACCAGTCGCACACTTAATAGCATCTGTAAGAATCCAACGTGTTTGGGAACTTTAAATGTGTAAACTGCCGATTTTCTCTTTCTTTCTGGTTATATGCGACATGAGTTAAAGGTTCCTTTATATAAACAAGAGAACCAGCCTTTTAAGAAAGGCCAAAGTGCTTTGATATTAATAGGTTAAAAATTAGCAGTAAAGAAGTGCAAAAATCTACAGTCAGAGAAATTATAAATTAAGAAGATCTAAAACTAATTTAGTTTTGCATCACGCTGAATCTTTTAGAAAAAAAAGTATTTGTGGGTGTCAGATTATTATAATTCAGAGAGCAGTTTATCATATGGGTTTCTTTTTAAACTTTTTTCTGTTGCATGATGCATCTAGATCTATAATGCGATGACATTGACAGAAACATCTAAAAATTAAGCTCTTACGTTTGTTTTTGTTTTTTTTAAAGGAGTTAGTGTACAGTCTGCTGTATTTTTTTTTTTAGATTATTAGATATTTATAAATTATTTTTTTTCTCTATTTACCACACCAAAGCAATAGCAAACACAGTTCTAACAATCACTTCAGTAGCGACATCATCTATTCAATTGGTGCAAAGGGTGCATCAGACCGTTTTCCCCAGCAGAAGTCATCACTGGTCATTCTCCTACCGGTAATTACTTGATTTAAACAGAAAAAAAGACGTTTATAATCTCTGAGCTGATTGCAGTATAGCTGTTTCTATATTTCATTGATCATTGTCCTTCAGTGTCCTTACTTTTGCTCCACTAACACACCAAGTACTCAATGTTAGAAAAGCCTACCCCCAGGGCTTTTTAGCTCCGACTCTTGTTTACAGTAAATATCAAATGCACTCAAGAGACGGAGTGACAAGGTCAAGTTCTTTGATGTAAGGCACCTGACTTCTAGTAAGACCTAAACGCACACAACGTTCTGTCTCAATGTCTAAAGTGTACATACCCATTGGCAGCCGCTTTCTGAGGCCGCCTTCGGTGGAACTCGATCTCATCTACTGTCCACACGGCTCCTTTCACATTCTCCAGGCGCACAAAACACTTATGTAGACTTAGGTTGTGTCTGACAGCATTCTGGAAGATTCAAGAAATGTTTAAACTATTAAACCTGATGCAATCTACATCTGCATGTAAATACACTGCAAACTACGTTTTATCTAAATAAGTCATTTTTTTCTCAAAATAAGTAAATATTCTCTTGAACTGAGGAGTTAAGTAAGACACTTCACCAATGGAACAAGATAATTTATATTTAAAATTAGAAAAAACTATTGCATTGTCTTATTTCAAGTGCATATTATCTAATTATCTTATTCTAAGAGTAAAAATACTAACTCCATTGGCAAATCATCCTATTTACCTACTCAAATTAAGGGTAAATACACTTAATTTAAGTATTCTAATTTATTTCTAGATAGATTTTGCAGTGTACAATCAGTTTCTGATCTTAAATGTGTGATGTCACTAATACCTTCCAAGTAGCTGCATTGCGCCTGAAATACGCAAAGTTTCTAGTGAACCAGTTGTAGATTTCATTTAACGTCAGCTGATTGCGGGGTGATTCAAATATAGCCTGAAACAGATAGAAATAATCAGAATTACTTACTCACAAAAACATAATGATTTGAGTTATAGCTAGTCTGTGGAAAACAATGCA